TGACATAACGTTTGCATCGAGCCACGCACCAACATCACTACGCACACGGTTTCATATCAATATAGTACCCATTTATTTATTTTGATTTGACATAAAACTTGCATCGTGTCACGCACCAATTTTACTACGCACGTGATTCCCTAGCAATACACTACCCATTTATTTATTTTGATTTGACATAAAATTTGCATCGAGCTACGCACCAATATTACTACGCACACAATTGCATATCAATACACTACGTATTTATTGATTTTGATTTGACATAAAGTTTGCATCGAGCCACGTACTAATGGAGGGTGTTTATTATCGCGTTTCCCCACAATGTATCATTACCCATCACGCACCTCATTAAACCCCTCACCGGCCCATTAGCCCAATTTAGCCCAATACATTAGGGTGGGAAAATTGCATTGTTCATGTTTCACACATTACCTTTGTATATATAGATAAAGATGGGGGAAAAAGAAAATGGTTCTTAATAAAAGGTGTCAATTCATTCCCGTAAAAATTTTCAATATTTTGTTTTTTTATGTCTCAAGAATATTAAACGTTTTTAATCTTTTTTTAATTTAATAAAGTCAAGTGGAGATTTTTTTTATAGAAATCACCCTAAATAGGACTAAAACATTGAGAAAAGTACCAAAATAATACTTTCATGTTTTTTTTCCAAAATAGGACTTTGCAGTGTGGTAATGTGGCAGTGTACATATGCACATTACTATACTTTTTTGGTAATGTATATGACCATGTTTGATAATGTAAGTCCTATTTCGGAAATAAAAACATGGAAGTCCTATTTTGGTATACTTTCAATGTTTTAGTCCTACTTTGGTCTTTTTCCCAATTTTTTTGCAAGAGATGCACTTTTGATATACATCCCACATATGCACATTTAAAAGATAAAAAATATTAATTGTACATAATGACTTCTTTGCGTAATATGTTGATGTATAAATTTTTATTTTTTTTTGTATATGCTTATAACTTCCACATTAAAAAATTATTAGTGTGTGCATATTTAAAACTTATTTAATGTTTAATGAAAGAAACTAGAGTGCTGGTCAAAATTTTAAAATGTTGATTAGAACACATTTTAAAGAAAAACACAGTTAACGAAAAGTTCAAAAATTAAAAAAAGATATTATAAATTAATTAAGTTAAGATTACAATAATCTACGTGACTCTATAATAGCTAGTAACTCAAATTTATATCCATGACACAAATTTTAAAAAAATTGTTACATAAAAATTAATTTTTTTATGTTATTTAGATGATGATGATGATGATGATAATAATAATAATAATAATAATAATAAAAGAAAATAAGCCTAAATATTTTTTAAGTCATTATTTGAAGAAATTAGGAGTTAGAAGAAATTTGAAAAAGTTGGAAAAATTATGTAACGCCCCAAAATATACCCTAGAATTATTAATAAATAAATAATCAATTAATCAAATTTGTTTTAATTAAGAATAAATATTTGTTGGGCTTGTTGAAACACGGGTTTATCACCTTTTCATACTAAAGCCGTGTTTGTTCTTATGACAGGTTTTGATAATGCCAAACCGCCGTGATCAAGACAAACATTGAATATACAAGGCGAGGAACGAAGATAATGAACAAGAGCTAAAAGAGACCAAGAACGAAGACCGCAGTCTTTAGTATTGTTGAGTCGGTCATAATTGTAATCAAGACCGACCAACCCTCACGCATTGGCTCTTTAGGCTAAAACCTTTTACTGCATTTCTTACATTATAAAAATGTTTTTCAAACTTGTTTAAGTCATTAAAAACACTTGGTGTTCGCCCAAACCAAAAACCAAGCCATCCAGCGTTCGGGTTTCAGAAACCGGCGTTCGGCTCTCGGTTATCGGCTATGGTTTTTGGCGTCCGAACCAACCGAGTGGTTTTCAACTTTTTATGATTTTTTTCACTCTTTGGCATGTTTAAACGGTTCTCCAACAAAAACACTTCGAAAACCATCTTTCGCTTTTGGTCGTTTGACAAAAATCATTCAAAACGGCATAAACTTGGCTAGCCGTGGGTTTCACTCAAATGACGTGGTTTTTAAAGTGTCTCACTTGATTTCTTAGACAAATACATCAAATAAGTGTTTTAAACACTTGGTTTTTACTTTGGAGA